CAATCCCTATGTTTTCAGCGCTGTATCAATACGACGCAGGAACTTTGGTATACCCTTCCGAATTGTTTCATGGAAATATCTCATTACAGCTCTCATGTCATCTCATGGAGGGAGTTCTTTGGATCTCATCAATGCGGAAAAACAGCTTGAATTTGCACAATAAGTAAGCAGCAGATAGTTATGAATAAAAAACATGGCTTCATCTCGTCAATAAATCACGATCCACAGAATGTGATACATTTTTTAGTTCGAATAATGCTATTATATATTTCAGTTGAGAAGAAAACAAGTATAGTACTACTCCGTCTTCCGATTTTAGGGTAGTCATGTAGCTAACTCCCATGTTTTCAGGATAAAATACAATTCGAATGAACGAAGAGGTAAAGATTAAATGGTTGTGTTGTTGCAAGAAGAAATTAAGCACGCCAGTTCATATTTATCAATCTATGTGGAGGCTGAAACACAGTTAGATTCTGCATAGAAGGATGTAATAGAAGAGCTGATCTTTACTCAACCACCAGAAAAGCAAGAAATACCTACATTACTGTAGTAACAATATATATATGTTACTATAAGTATATTTTTCTTCATGTAAAGTATTTTCTGCCATATCAAACACACATCTTAGATTGCTAGCTATTAATTGTGAAATGAAAGGTAAAAGACTAAAACGAATTGGACGAAGAGATGAATAGCCTATCAATCCCCCTATTATTGAGGGAAATGGTTCGAAGCCAATTTGTAGAGAGGAGAATTCTAATCGGAAACTTGAGCAACCGATGCTCATTTTCACCTTGCATTTTGTTTTAAATCATGAGTTATATTGTAACAAATAGGCAAACTCCTCACTTATATTAATAAGAAATTGGAACTCAATTACATATTCAGATAATAAAATCAACACTCAAACTGTTGAATTATAACGAGAAATACTGAAATACAAAAGTAACCAAGGATAGAACTAAGGTGGAAATGAGAAATCAAAATCACAATTTAACAAACTTCAGCCTAAAAATGCTCTACGCCCTCCCCGTATTTATAACTAATTTTCTGCCCCAAACAACATTATTTTGCATTTGCTCTGTGGCATGCCTCGTGGCATCATAATCATCTTAGTCCAATTGACCATGTCACAACATTTAGGGAATAGTTTATTGTAAGTCACTAAGCTTGTTCAAGGCAGTTAATCCGGCTGTTAATCTTAATTCTAAAGAGATAATAACAAAGATAATGATTTCTTGTTGATTTGTGTCGTTGGTGGTCCAAGCAAATCCCTACCAGCACCAGCAGCCATTTGTCTTTTATCCAAACCAAAAACAATAATAATGTCACGACCCCATTTTTTCCTCTATAGGATGTCGTGATGGCACATAGTCTTTAACACTAGGTAAGTCTACAAATTTGCAGAATCAATGAATAATGAACTAAACTCCAATCTCAACTCATGATATATAAATATAAAACTGTCATTCAATAATTACAACTCCCAAAACCCTTTGAAAACAAGTCACAAGCTTCTAATAGGAATATTAAGTGTCTCTATACATCAAGTCTAAAGAGAATCAGGAAAATAACATAATAAGGATAGAGGGGGATTCCAAGGTCTGCGGACACTGGCAAAAATACCTTAAAATCTTCACGTGCGGTCCAACTCACTGGTATCTGGTCTGGTGGGAAGAACCTGAATCTGCACAAAAAGATGTGTAGAGTGTAGTATGAGTACGTCACAACGGTACCTAGTAAGTGCCAAGCCTAACCTCTGTAGAGAAGTGACGAGGTCAGGTCAGGGCCCTACTGGTTTAAAAGAAAAGTAAGGCAGAAAATACAATAATAATTTGAAATGACTGAGAATTTAAACAATAAGAAGTTTCAGAAAATATCATCTCAATAAATAGAGGTACACAGCAGGGGCATTCCGAGGTACCGCTTCGTAGTCCCAATGTAAAGATGTAGTACATGGGGATTTCTCGAGAAACCGCCTCGTAGTCCCAAAGTAAATATGCAGTACATGGGGATCTTCCGGGTAAACGCCTCGTAGTCCCAAAGGTAAATTTGCAGTACATTGGGATCTCCCGAGTACACGCCTCGTAGTCCCAAAGTAAATATGCAGTACATGGGGATCTCCAGAGTAAATATCTCGTAGTCCCAAAGTAAATATGTAGTACAGGTAATCGAAGGAAAACACAAATTTTGAGCAAGAATCTTACAGTTAAAGATTTAATTCAAATAAAAGAAAACAGGTAATTCAACTAAGCAAGTTGCACAAATTGCAAGTAAGAGTTAAGGTATATAGACATGTGATGCTAGACTAAACATGATCACTATATATGCTAAGGCAACTCAGTTAATGTATTTTAAAAGAAGACAACTTAGTTAATGTATTTTAAAAGAAGACAACTTAGTTAATGTATTTTTTAAACGATGACAAATCAGCAAGAACCAAATTTTCCATAATCAACCCATGTACGCGCTCGTCACCTCGCGTACACGACACTCACATATTATAAATTATTACAACAGTACCAAAACCTAAGGGGATTCCCCCCNAGAAAATTCGGCCCAAAAAGTTGACCCGGGCCCACGTCTCAGAATCGGGTAAACGTCACAAAATACGAACACGCATTCAATATCGAGTTCACCCATATCAAAAATACCAAAATCCGACACCAAGTCGCCTCTCAAATCCCCAAATTACACTTTTCAAATCTCTAGCCTCAACTCCCACATTCCACCTTAAACACACACAATCTAGGTAGGGAAACAAGATTATTTATAAAAATAAGCACAAGGGACTTACCTCAAGAAATCCCTCGAAAATGCTCTAAAAAATCGTCAAACCAGAGCTCAAAATGTCCAAAAATGAAGAATGAAATAAACCCTCAGAATAGCCACTTTTTTGCCTAGCAAAATTGCTTCTGCGAGCCCACAGCCGCATTTGCGGCTCCGCACCTACGTAATTTCCATCGCAGATGCGGTTCTAACTTAATCTAGGCACGTCCACATCTGCGAACCCAAACGTGCTTCTGCGCCCCCGCTCCTGCGGTCCAAGTCCGCTTTTGCGACTAACATGCCTCCCGGGCCTTTTCGCTTCTGCGCTCATTCCTCCGCAGAAGCGACTCCGCTCTTGCGGTCTTCACGTTGCGCGACCACTGGCCAAGCCCTCCAGCTCCGCATCTGCGCCCAATTGCTCGCTTCTGCGGGCTCGCACCTGCGATCAATCTTGCGTAGGTGCGATTACACAAGAACCAGTCGAGCACCAGAAAATCTTCTTAGTCCAAAAATGATCCGTTAACCATTCGAAACTCATCAGAGGCCTCCGGGACCTCAACCAAATATACCAACCAATCCTAAAATATCACAAGAACTTAGTCGAGCCTTTAAATTACATCAAACAACTCTAAAAACATGTCAATTCAAGCCTAATGACCTTCAAAGTTTCAAACTTCTACATCTGATGCCGAAAACCATCAAATCAAGTCCGATTGACCTCAGGTTTTGCACACAAGTCATAATTGACATTACAAACCTATTCCAACTTTCGAAATCGGAATCCGACCCCTATATCAAAAAGTCCACTCCCTGTCAAACTTCTCAAAAATCATCCCATTTTCTAACTTTCGCCAATTTACGCTAAAATGACCTACAGACCTCCAATTCAACATTCGAACACGCTCCTAAGACCAAAATCACAATATAGAGCTATTGAAACCGTAAAAACTCCATTCTGGAATCAACTTCACACACTTCGAACTACGGTCAATTCATATGACTTAAACCTCCATTTTAGGGATTATGTGTCCCATTTCACTCCGAAACCAAAGACAAATCCTCCCGGCAAGTCACAAAACATAAAAATGAAAATAGAGGAAGCAATATTAAATATAGATCGGGCCAAAAAAATAAATATTTGGGGATAAATCAATTTTTCAGAATTTTTTTTACTTTTTTCGGAATAAGTGTTGATTTTATATTTTATTAAAAAAATTCGAAATAAATATTTTTTCCGGAATTTTTTTCATTTTTTTTGAATAAGTGTTGATTTTTTATTTTAATAAAAATTTCCGAAATAAATAATTTTTCCGGAATTGTTTTACTTTTTTCGGAATAAGTGTTGATTTTATATTTTATTAAAAAAATTCGAAATAAATATTTTTTCCGGAATTTTTTTAATTTTTTTTGAATAAGTGTTGATTTTTTATTTTAATAAAAATTTCCGAAATAAATAATTTTTCCGGAATTGTTTTACTTTTTTCGGAATAATTGTTGATTTGTATTTTAATAAAAAATTTCGAAAAATTATTTTTTCAGAAAAAATAATTTTTTCATGCTGGATTGCTTAGGTGGATGTCCATGTAAGCAAATCTAACTCAGTTGGACTACCATGTCACCTTTAATGGCAAGACTAACGGTTTAAGGGCATTTGTGGTGCAAAATATAGATGACAGAGATATTTTTGGTACCAAAAACAAACAGAGGGAATTTTTGAGCTACATTAAATAGTTCAAGGGCATTTTTGGCCATTTTTCGTATTTATAAATATAGTCGCGCGAATATATGAAATACAAAATTAAATAGCTGCAATCCCTATTTTTTAGGCGGATTACCTTAGTGTATATATAAATACAGACGCGTGAATACATGAAATACAGAATTAAACTGATGTAATCCCTATTTTATTACCTCACTATATTTATAAATACAGTCGCTTTAATACATGAAATACAATATAGTAGCAATAAAATTGTAGTTACGATAAGTAAATATAAATATTATAATTATATCACGTTAATATCTGCTTAACTATAGTGATTTCTGAAAAATTCTCTTATTGAAATAACGGTATCGGCTAAAATATTTGGAATAATTTTTAAGTGTACACTGTAAATGTCCCGACAATATATTTGGCAATTTTCATTCAATTTGGATCCCATATAGTGTATGTTTGGGCTGGCCTGTGCTTAGCATGGGGCGGCCCGTCTGGCAGTAGCTATAAATTGATTGCAGATTGGGAATGTCATATACGAAGAGGTGAGTCGAGCGTGGAGTCGGGTCTGGTAAAATTTCTGGCTTCTTTGCCTAACATCAGTGCTCTTCTTTGCCTATCTTTGTTTCGAGGAAGAGTGCCGTGCGTTATGGCTTTCCGTTTGGTAGGGTGAGTTGATTTCAGTCTAATTTTGTTGATAATCTTTGATTTATCATAGTGCTCGTTTGATTTTTGTATAATGTTTTACTATATTTTGGTTTGGATAGAAGACAAATGGTTGCTGGTGCTGGTAGGGATGTGCTTGGAGCACCAACGACACAAATCAGGTTTAAAAGTTTTTCTTTAGATGGCAGAATTTTACCCCTCTTTTTTTAATTTTGGTATTAAATTTGATTTTGATTTGTTAGGGGATACTGCCAGCAAACCTCCTCCGTTCCTGATTACATAGTTCGTCGTAGTGGTAAATTGATCATCCAACTTGTTTAATTCTCCCTTCAAATTTCTGTTATTTATTATTATCATTATTCAACTCAGTCATTTCTGGTCCTTGCAGCTAAACTTTTTGTCACCGGGGCAGTATTAGCTGTTACCGTCATTTATCTCGTGTATGTAACTCACTTTTTACTTTTATCCTAGAAAACTCCTCTTTTTGCTTGGTGATCAGTTCTGTTTGTTTTTTAATAATCAACAATGAATATTGTACTTTGAAATCAAATGGTACACCCCTATACTAATGGATTTCCACACAAATATTAGCTTGAATACATAATATTTTCTTTACTAGGGTGTTAAAATATGAGGTATATCCCTTCCCAAATACAAATTCAAATCAATATATATATATATATATATATA